TATGTAGAGTTTATGAACTGTTGGTGCGAGTGTTCGAAAATGCGCAGTGATGGTCATGTCGTGAACAGAAAACTGTTTGTTTCTTCTGCGACTATCCGCCCCGGAAAAATTGTACTTTTGAATGGCAACATGTGTTCGTGGGAATGCTCAGTCCATAGTCTCTCATCTCACAAAGCAATGAGCTGACAAAGTTGATTGTGGTGTAGACAAATTCAAGTTGACTCTAAACCTGGATGTTCATGAATAGGAAGTTGCATTACGTAAGCAGTGTGACTATGAACGTCTTATTAGTGTCCCACCCGTTGTCCCCCAACGTCCCCCAAACATTTGAAACATCAAAAAATAGAATTTCAGCACTGATTCATACTTTTATCAATTATATCGGTCGTTGAATCAGAATACCATGCTAAGGGTGAAGCTTTCTACACGATGTTTTGTATTAATCACATCGTTTCAGGTTCCTACCACCTTCCAATTCCGACTGCACAAGGTACAAATTGCTTGCTGCTTCATTTCATTTCATCGCTCTAGATCTTTCTAAGCTCCAAGATATGTTCTTCAAACATCCAATAAGGTTAGAGAAAGCAGGGGCTAATGATATGAGCCACTTCGATACATTTACGATGATGGCTGTCTGCGAGCACAACAGGTCTGAAACGGGCCGCTCATGACCTGCCTTCCACGACATCTGGCCTGGTTTGCATGGTTAAAATATGGACGATTGGTTTCAAAGCTATCGAGCAGACTGTGCCTCGTACAGCTCGAACTATGACGATGCCACTTTCTACTGCTCCCCTGAGCTGCTTAGTCGAGGTGCATAGCCGATACCCTTTGAAAGTCTTCAAGGAAATCAGCAATTATATCTGCGATTTCAGTATTCCACTAGCGTAATTACCCATATATCTGCATATTGGATGTCTTTCTATAAAAAGATCCCTACCGCCATTGCTGGAAATGGTAAAAAGAGCGCTCTTCCTATATCCAATCACACGCCCTTGTTCGTGTGATGTCTGGTTATCTAACTTTCTAGCCTCATATTTGTTCATGAACTTGAATCAGCTAGCTTATAATGGGGTCATACTTTCGAATGCCTTCACTCACTTGAAGAACGATCTTGCATAGCCATACCGTCGGGCCGTTTCCCCTGCGTCTTGCATCGTAGATATCCTACTCGCTATTTGTAACGATACTTTGTTAATCTTTTCTTAGATTTCCAAGAGAAGTGTTCTTCAGGAGTTGTGTATAAAGTTCCTAAGTTTTCTTCATTCTATTTTCCCGCGCAATCATTGAAATTGAGATCTATGAAGAGTGTTACTTAGGTCACTATTGTCTGTCTTTGACTCAGACTACCGATTATCCAGCTCACATCCCCTTCATTCTTGTGATCAGCTTTATCATCAAGCATAAAATCTCTCATGTTACTTCTTACACCATGTCATCAAACTCCGCGTCAACTCATAGGCAGGCTCGGGAGGAATCCGAACCCAAGTATGTGGTACCACAGATAACATCACTTATTTGTTGTGATTATCTTACTGACTTTCATAAGCACTGAGAGTAAATCTCATCATCAACATTACCATCACAACGCTGATCTCAGTCGATTTCGCAATTCTGTTGGCCCCAAAAAAGAAGGATCTCCCCATCCCTGTACAGAATCTCCCGCAGGTCCTCATCCACAATCCACCCACTTCGATCACCGACCACAACAAGAAGATTTTTTTGCAAGCAATGCAGCTAGTTTTGGTGGCTCCAGCCATGATGCTGGCTATATGTCAGAAAATGACTTGCATGAATTGGAAGCTCAAACCCATGAACCTAGTTCCCAATATACTTGTCGTCACTTGGGTTACTTCTCACACGACTGCGTAATGGCATCGCACTACGACAATCAACTTACCATTGAGGAAGATCCGAACGAACAGAATAGCTCTCCCCAATCAGAAATTCAGCGTGTAACGACAAATCCGACTACAGAGAATGGCATACAAGTATCGAACAATGAATTTGAAGAAATGCAAACCTATTCGCCAACTACCGAAATTTGGACTCTGCACGAGTCTCGAGATGAAAGAATACGACTCGGCTTACCCGGTGGCCAAGAAATCCCCTTAAATATATTTTACTACGATGAAGATCTTGATACCGAGGCACGTTGAGTTCTTTGCGCCATTCATCGGGGTTACCTTCAAATCCAGGCTTTTGCCAAGCACGCACGTCAGCTCCACATCCTCTTGGAGATTCGAGTACCAGAGCCTTGTCGATTCAACCATGTTTCTGTCTGTTTTCATTTCTTTTGATTCTATCGTCTGAAATAACCGGATTTTCTTTACAGCCAACGATGAACATGATCTCTTCATTTCTCTTGTCATAATTTTATATAGGTACATTAGCTAGTTGGTTTCACAACCATATTTTCAGCATATCAATTGATCCCTTGCACCAACTTCCTCCTCCTCATCTTCCTTATTCATCATATTCTCATATTCTCATAGAGTCATAGTGTTCGCATCGATACTTCCTCATACATGAGAAGAACTCGCCAATCATTTAAACGTGGATGCGCCGCTTACCCACCCCACCAAATGTACTTCTCCCGCCGAGTACGATGCACAGCGTGAGATATTTTCTTTCATGACTTTACTTCAAGATTCCTGCCAATTCTCATGGTTGACCTAATCTCTGCTTTGATTATTGAAATGGTTTCTTTCTGTGTTTTTAGTTTATGCATGCACTTCCAATAAAATCAACTCATTCCACATAAATTTCTTCCACAGACTCACCCAAGTCTCACAAAACACTCTCTGAACATCCAATATTCAACCGATCTTCAAGTCTTGAGATCCTAAAATTCAAAAGATAATCAATATCCTTACCTAGGTCCTCACAGCATACCATCATCCAGTTCCCCCCATGATCATTAGCATTCATCACATTTCGATTTTCGATCTCCTCCCATCCGATGTACCTCTACGTGACCCCCACCATCTGCCAGCTCTTTAAACAGCCGATTAGCTCCCATTCTGGGAAAGTGAATTTTCCCTCCAAGATTTTGGTAGTGTTTCTGATCAAGATCAAGACCAACGAAATCAAATCGAATGTGTGTTTTATAGTAAAAAAATCTTCTTTTGTCTTTTTGAAACAATCACAAAAACAGATACATCATTAGCTTTATCAACACAATAACTATATCACCTCGATAATGCTTGATTATATTAACCTAATTCTATCAATATAATTAGCATTTAAAATCTCATGGGGACAATTCACTTCCCCCGACTACGCTTAAAGAGCCACCTATTATACTTACTTGGAATGTGAAGTTGATATTTTAGGTTACAGGAAGATGAGCTGATTGATATGAATTGAGAAACATGAGTTGACACGAATCGAAAGAGATAGAATCAAAGATGTGACGAATACATTGAAATACAGTACTAGCCAACTCCCTGTGGTGGCAGAATCCGTGGTTGACGAATAAATCATTTTGTTAATTGTATTAAAAATTTCAATAGTTAATATTATATTGAAAAAATGGGTCATACAGTATTAATGTGATTAACTTTTATATATATATATGATTAGAAATTTTTACTTTAAAAGGACTTAGAGAAATTTTCGAAATTTATTGATTTTTCAAAATTTCTTGATTTTCGAAAGTTTTGATTTAAGGTTATTTACAAATAAAAAAGTTTACTTGTATTGAATTCGATTAATAATCGATTTCAAAATATAATTATATATATTAGAATTGATTAAGATTCTTGTTTAAACAGTACATTCTGTATTGTATAGCACAGTGGTAAAGCTTTTGATTGAAGAATAAATCGAAAGTAAAGTGAGTGATCTGTGAACAGACCCCCCTTTAGATTTTCGGCTAATACTTTCCGTTCACCTGTCCTACCCTTTAGCTTTTATGCTCGCTCCCCTCTTCCTTTAGCTCCTACGCTCACTCCCTTTCTTCTCTTAGCTTCCCCGCTTATTCCTCTTCTCTTCCTAGTTTCTACGCTTGCTTCCCTTCTGTCTACCTTTCCTAAAGCTCTTCAGCTGAAGGGCCTTTATTTTCTTTATATTTATTAAATATCAATAATAAACGGTTGTCATTTTGAACTGGAAAAATTCGTTGGTGACGAAATATGTATTTCGTTAGGGACAAACAAAGTTTGAATTCAATAATATATGTATCAAATATTTATATGGGGATTTATACTGACATTTTATTCGTATATAGATATTAACTCTGTCACCACAGGGACTACTATCAGCCGAAATTCATTTTCACATCAAAAACCGATATTTTGCTATATTTTTAAGATCAAAAATCTTTATGATTTATAAATCGAATTGTTTCAAAATTTATTTCTACAAAGTTTTTATAGTAATAATTAATATTTTTGATATCTTAATATTCTCAGAAATTTATATTATAGAAATTCGTAATATTGAATTAAATTATTAAAAAAGTTACTTGATTTTCGTTTATTTTATTAATAAATCTAATTATTTTGAATTAATTCTAAGTTTCAATCTATATAATATAATCAAAAAAATCAAAAAAATAATTAATCTTATTTTTATTAAATTTTGATTAAAAATAAATCAATAAATAAATACAAAAAAAGTTATATTATATTAATAATAATAAGAAAATTTAGGATTATAAATAATGAGTTTTGGTGTGAAAATATATTTCGGCTCATAGCAGTTGGCATTTATTGTAGCTGGAGGATCATTACAGGAATTTCTTGTTGATTGTTTGAAGTATATGTAGTTACTGTTGTGATTTTAAAGTCATAAATTCATAAGGTCATAAAACCATGAAAAAAGTAGCAATATAAACACAAGCTCCATGGGCCTGACACTCCGCTAGCCCGTAAAGCCCTCTCCCCATATGGTCACAACTATACTATCCCGAGTCCAGGCTAATCCCACCCTATAACCTCCATCCGTGTCTAGTAAAGATCAGAATGCAAGGTCTAATCAGTAAAGCCATCTTTCGCTTAGCAAAATTTAAGGCTTCCCTCATCCCATCCCATTTCACACTCGATATCCTTCAACACTGCGCCGATTGGAGTCGCATATGTAACATCACCAAAGCCCGAAATAACCGATCCATGATGATTACCACCCCAAATCATAGCCACGGGTATGAGAGCCGCAGTATGCTTATCAGCATCTGTAGTGTCAATATCGATATCATAGATTAGGGCACCAGAATCGCCTCCACCAGATGCTGTTTTCTCCGTTCATCGCTCCGACAAATACACATTCCTCTGAACATCCATGACCGTTTTCATGGTGGATATTTCTGATGCCATTCAATTCACATGCCAGCCAACCCAATGTTCGACTTGGTGCTTTGAAGTAGAATCTATTTGTGCCAAGGACCGAAGACGAGCTCGGATGCTTGATATTGAATTCCTCTGAATCTTGTAACACCTGACACTTTGAATTGAAAGCTTTACATTCGTCAATTGACCACTGATTTTCTTTTGTTTGCCTTGAATCAAACTGGAGATTTGAGTTTCTTCTACGAATCTTGTTCGAGGTAACTACAATGAAAATTAGTATTGCTGCGCAAAAAAAGATCTTGAAAAGGAATGAAGGACTGACTGTGTTACTGGTGCCAACGCAAAGATTTTTGATAATGGCCCAATCGAGATTTCCAGTATAACCAGGAACTTTGCGCCATTCTTCTGGAGCAGTAGAAACGTAGCCAGCATTAGGACAGTAGTCTTCAGCCGCTTTGTATCGAATGAGACATGACTTTCGATGGATTTCTTGTTTTTCTATACGCAACATATACTCTTCGTCGATATTCGCCGCATCTTCGAAGCGTACGTTTTTGGTTCCGAACTTGATGTTATCAAGAGCAAATTTCAATCTTCCCTTGGTTTCACCATGATCCTTCATTGCAGGTATAGATACTTGCAATTTTTCCTCTCCCTTCTGATGTTTGTAGCCGGATCGAAAGTTTTTGTCCGGGAAAGCAACGTGTCTGCAAGTAAGACTGTAGATATCATTATTATGTCTCAGGAAACCAGTCAAGGAACCAGCAGTATTGTATTCTTCGCGTCCGATCGAGAGTTCAGGAAGTGGAGTGTATTCTTCATATATATTTTCAAAATTATGTGTGAGATCAACACCTCGGTTGCTTTGCAATGCGGAGCTTCTAAGTGTCGAACTATAAATTTGACAAATGTCAATGAAGTATCTTAATATGTCAAGTCAGTTGAATATCCCCATGAACAAGTTGGAGTGAGTAAGAAATACATACTTCTCAGAAGTCTTTTTCTTTTGGGAGATGATCTTATCCATGCATTCCAGGACCTTGATAGCATTTTTCCTAATTTTTTCAATCTCTCTGTTGTTTTCAATCTCTCTGTTGTTTTCAATCTCTCTGTTGTTTTCAATCTCTCTGTTGTTTTCAATCTCTCTGTTGTTTTCAATATCCAGGAAGTAATCTGGGGTTTGAATAAATAGATGAAGAACAATCGGATTGTCGCTTCTATTATTTTCGAAGCCAAGTCGAAGAATATTCAAGGTCCATGTACAGTCAGGTAGCTCAGAGACAAGAAAATCTTTGAGCGAGGAGCGAATGTTGGTTTCGAAGTCTTGAATGTATTGCTGATCTTGTTGACCTTGAACAGCGAACGCATTTTTCTCTGGAGGATAATGAAAGTTGTGTGGACCGAGGACGACATTTGGTGCTTGATTGGTAGCAATTACTTGCTGCCATTGAAGACCATAGTTGCACTGGTCTTGTTCTTTAACAAGCCAAGGATGAGACATGTTGTGATGTCGAATATTTTCCTCTTGAATATAAGTTGAATTTTCTGAAATGATTCTGTGTGGAATACTAAGGAATGTCCTTTCTGAAAGTATTGTTGATGTTTCTGTAATGGGAAGAAACAAGCAGAGACTTTATGTCTTTGCCATGTCGATGCATTGTCATAGACATGAATGAAGTAGATTTAGCGTCCATCTTGCGCACAGACATAGGCATAACCTAGATGATTGAGATTTGAGATTTGCCCAAAACTTGATCAGGAGGTATGGGAAGTATGGGTGACTAAAGTTGTTCTCCGGCAGAACAAAAACCCAAAGCACACCTTTTCAAAGAAAGTCCTGAGGGTAAGTGCTGCAATACGGCACAGAAATACAATATGATGCTGTACTTGCGAGACATTGCCGAATGCGAGCCGTAACTCATTCATTGCTTCAAGAGCATACAGTATTAATAGATTTTCCGGTTGATACGTCGGGCCGTACAGTAACAAGTAGGTCATCGGAATCGAACCATAGGCTTCATAATCTACACTCTGAATAGGTAAAAGGATATACGGACTGTAAAGACACTACAGTTGATACATCTAGCTACGTTATGAATCAGGGATCTCTCATGTTTCTTCAATTGCCATGATCAAAACCCATTCATTTCTAGTTTCAAATCCCCTTGTAACCAGATAAGGAAGGAACAATTAAACTCCCCAACCATCAATCTTCCAAAAATATAAATACCTTTCAACATATAAAAATCTTCCAATACAAACCCATCAAAAAACAGTCCATAGATCCATAATACCTGACATCTGAACTCCCAACTCTACATCACTCTTAGTCTAATCGTTAAAAATTTCTCCAGAGCGAAGCGAGAAACTCTTGAATAGCACTATACCCCTTTCTTTCATCGATATCCCTCTCAATCTTCCACTCATCTATACTTCGCTTAGTGTTACTCTTCCACTTTCTTTTCTTCTTCTTCGATTAAATGAGTTTAGATTAAAAATAGCTAAATCCTCCATTTAGCATTTCTTTTCACTCCTAAACTGAGAGCGAGATTGTTGGGAAACTATCTATCTACCTATTCGTCTACCAACCATCTATCCCAAACTCAAACCTATACCCAAGAAAAGAAAAGAAAAGAAAGAAAAGAAAAGAAAAGAAAAGAAAAGAAAAGAAAAGAAAAGAAAAGAAAAGAAAAGAAAAGAAAAGAAAAGAAAAGAAAAGAAAAGAAAAGAAAAGAAGAATCATCAATCTTCATTCATTCCACTCTTTCAAATATAAATAAATTTATTTAATTTGAAAAATAATCTAATTAAAGAAAAAAGAAAAAGAAAAAAGAAAAAAGAAAAAAGGAAAGAAAAAGAAAAAGAAGAAAGGGAATTGTTAGATAATAGAAAAGTTTAAATAGAAATATTAATATATAATAAATAACTCAATTATCTAATTACCTAGCTATCTATTTTCTCTTTCGAGAAAATAAAACTAAAAACAAGATTATTAGAAAATTATTTATCTATCTACCTATTTATCTATCAATCATCTATCCCAAACCCAAACCTATACCTAAGAAAAGAAAAGAAAAGAAGAATCTTCAATCTTTAATCATTCACTCCCCCAAATATAAGTAAGCTTATTTAATTTAAAAAATAACCTAACTAAAGAAAAAAGAAGAAAGGAGAAGAAAAGGAAAAAGAAGAAGGAAAGGGAATCATCAGATGAGTGGAAAAGTCCGGGTGGAAATATTAATATAAGATATCATGTATAGATAAATCATGCGTAGATGTATAGATAGTACACAGATATTTAGATAATAAATACATGCATACGTACAAATAACTTAATTACCTAGCTACCTACTTTCTCTCTCGAGAAAATTAAAAGACGCGAAATATGGAATAGATAAAGTTACAAATCCACTCCCTTTTAACCAAACAAGCCAAATAAGAATCCCCATCCATCCATCCCTCCCTCCCTCCCTCCCTCTATCCATCCATCCTCCTACGACTCCCCCACCCCTAAAAGACTAAACTAATACCTACCCCCACACCCCTGCGGATTCGCCAACTTCTCCAAAACCCGCTGCACCACCTCCTGCGCGCCCCTAACCCCCCTCCTCCCAATATCATCAGGAATGAGATTCTCCGCCAACAAACTCTTCGCACGATCACTATTCAAAAAATCCACCAGCGTCTGCGTATTCTCCAATTGTTCCGTCCAGGCCCTCTGAAACTCATCCGCGAGTCGCGTGCCATTCTCCACCGCCGCCAAGCGATCATTCTCGAGATCAATCAAGCGCTGTTTATACAGATTTTCGAGCGTCGCGCGACGAGCTTCAAATTGTCGCGCGTCTGCTGCCCGAGTATTCGCAAGCGTTTGTTCGCGCGATGTGAGTTCTTGGGATCGGGTTTCGAGATCGGTAGCGCGGGTATCGAGTTGTCTGCGTTGGGCTTCGAAATCTTTGCGCTCTTTGGCGAGACGTTCGCGTTCGGTTTCTAGCTGAATGGCGACTTCGTTGAAGTCGGGGCCTTCGGTGAAGCGTTTCCATTTTTCCTTCGCGTTGTAGACGTGGGAGCGTTGGAGCTTGACTTCGTTGAGGAGATACGTGCGTTCTGTGTCTGCGACTTCGGCGGCTTCGCGGAGAGATGCGTTGTCCCGGCGGAGTTGTCGGAGTTCCTCGAGATCGTCGCGGGTTTTCTTTTCCCAGACGGAGACGCGCTCGGGCCAGACGGGTTTGACCACGCTGACGACGGTGGGGTTGCGTTCCATTTCGCGGGTGGCTTTGACACCGGGATGTTCGGCATGGGCGGGGATGACGAAGATGGTTTTGAGGGAATCGTTGCGGAGTCGATAGTAGCGAGTTATGACATCGATGGCGGTGATACCACGGGAATATTCTTTTCCACCTTTGGTTTCCCAGAGACGCTCACCTTCGACGCCGAGACGGAGATGATTTGCACGGATTTGTTCGTCGACTCGTTCTTTCTTTTCAAATTCATCATTGAGAAATTGCCAGATATCGTCGCCGGAGTTGACGAGGACGAAGCGATCTTGTGGGTAGACGAGCTCGCGGCCACTACGTCCATCGGGTCCGACGCGGGAAAGTGCTTGATGAGGAACGACAGCTTCGCCTTTCATTACGTCCATGGCATTTGCATGAAGACGTTCGAGGTTATGAAGACGAGCGACGAGTCGTTGGATGTAAAGTATCATTTGACCAAGGAGAGTTGTTTCTGCTAGGGGTCGATTGTTATCGTCATCTTCATGTGGAAGAACACCTAGTAGACCTCCCTTGGCGCTATATTCATGATCGATTAGTTCGAGTACTTCGTTTGCGTGTTTGAGAAGTGCTTCATGGGTAGCATATGGAAGCGATGGACCGTCAACAGGAGCTGGATCCACTTCATGCAATGGACAGACGTCAATCTCGACAAAATGATCTGGTTGTCCTGGATTTACCATGGTGCCCGGTTCGACATACTGAGGTTCCAATGTATTGAGTAGAGTGGGAAGTGGAAGATTGTGATGGACTGTATTATTCTCGTAGACATTATTCAAATCATTGAGGAAATCGAAAGTTTCATTTTCATTGAAACTCGGGGGCTCCATCAAACTTGGTAACCGCTTTTTGATTCTTACTATCGATGGTTCCTGCGTGGGTGGAAAGAGTGATTTGCTTGAGGAGAATAACCAATGCTTGAGCATGTTGTTTCAATTCCAGAATTGTAGGTGAATGACCTTTCGTAGACAAATAATTGCAGTTGACATGTTTAAAAAGTGGAATTAGATCTGGTTGATTGAGTGTAAAGATGGAACGATATGCTTTGAGAATTTTGTTCGTTGTACTGCTCCTCGAGCTAGACCACTTGATCCCCTAGGCGCAGGACCTATCGTGTCAGGAGCTCTAACTTCGGCAGACCCTCCTCCAGCTCTTCGTTGCAAAGCGGCAGCGCCTGCAGCCGCAGCTGGTGCATCCCGCATTACTACATCGGCCATAATTTTTTGTAATGTTTTATTTTGTGATATTTGGCCTGGGAAGGTTAATCGTTGACTTGGCTGTCTCTAAATGTCGCTTGAAGTTTATCGTAGCAGATAAACAAATCGCAAAATGGGAATAACACGATGAAAGAAAAGATCAAGTAACAGCAATGACGCTTTAGGAAATATGTATACCGCATGTTTGTGAAGCTTGAATAGAGATAATGAAATATAAGGAATGTAGTTCATTGAATGTCAAGTCCATCGAAGCAATTCTTTGATGGTATGAACAATAGATGTTCTGCTTTCAACGCAAGAAGGTTTCTTTGTTGGAGGGTATTTGTATGGAATCGTGTGTTCTTGGCATGAAGGTTTTAGTCTGATGGAAGTTTTGACTTGCAATGGATGTAGAGTAGAGATTCATATCACGTGAGCTCATGATCACGCTTGAAACTGAACATCGTAATATTAATTATCCATCCATCCATCCATGGCGAAGAATTGATTTACACTTGCAAATAATTGATTGTCGTTTGAATTTTCTCCTGGCATCTTTATCAATTAAGATAAAAGGACGTTAATTAAATCAATCAATCAATCTATCAATTAAGATGGTGAAGGGATGGTGATGAGCCAAGAGATACTGTGGCGATAGTATGGCAATAGTACCCGGTACATGATAAGAAATCGAGCACTTGAACATTCTTATATTGTATCCATCTATATCCTCAGAATATATCCTCGGAATTATGACCATCGGGAAATTCCCATCAATTGAAAACATAAGCTGTACTCTGGACCAATAACGCAGCAAATATCAGCGGGGTGAAGTAATATCGATTCAGCTTGACAGGCTCACAGGTTATGAGAACCATGTCGAGCTGTGGGGTCAGTGATAATTCTGCAGGTACTACTTGGTGTTAGATATGATATTGTGTTATGATCATATCTACTAGGTAGGTGAGAGTAAAGAATAAGAGCAAAGAATGATAATTTGGATTGAATGAGCTCTAACGAGGTAATGATGAATGTGATTTATGCTGTACTGTGTAGATATCATATCGACATTTAGAGAATATCACATCGACGTCAACATCAATACCAGTGTCACGATTAAGCAATATCAACATCAAGCTCTAATAAATCATCAACCAACCACCCCACCTGCACACTCAACACTCAACACTCACTCCCTTCGGTCCCGAACAACCATCCCTCACATGAAGTACCGGCGGCTAAACACGCAGTCAAGATTTCCAGGGACGTGTAGAGTGCATCTTCACAGGCCTTCCAGGATATTTCGATCGAATTGCAATTGAGGGTCCAACGGGGTTCCCATCACGGTTAAGCTCTTTTCGTTGAGAATTTGATATCGTTTGGATAATTAGTAGGTTTAGTGCATCGACTACCAGATGTGACGCCGACGTTATCCACCGGTGACAGGTGCCAGGAGTCGACTAACTCATCTCATCATTCCACAAGCGTCAATTAAGCTTTTTGATATCCGAAAGGACTAGGTAGGTACTACTGTAACTACCTAGATAGAGGTGGGAAAGTTAATATTTGAAACTTTCCTTCTTTCAAACGTGTGGCTGTGGCTATGAATAGGTGGTAATTTAACTCCTTTTCTTATGATGAAGAGTTTGAAGGGGAGAGGAGAGTCGATAAGATGGACGGTATTGTATTTATATGATAGATAGATATCTTTAGTAGACTTTGGGAATCAACATTAACCTATGCAACTCTGATGCTAGATGTATAACCACAAAATGGTAAACTACAAGAGGACTAACCTGGTTTTTATAATATCAGAGTTGTATACTTTCTGGTTGTACGAATACTCTTCAGATTATACGGTGCACCATGTGAGAATTAAAAACATCCGATTCGTACGAGTAGATCGCCGATATATCCATCTCTACCTCATACCATTCACCACGTTTTACCGGTCACAAGTCACAAATCAATCACAAATCACACAGCACAACTCACAACTCACAACTCACAACACATCCCTCTCCAACCGTGGCTGGTGGGCTGGGAGAGATCAGGATGTGGAAATGCAAATAGTATTGTCTGTACCCAAGGAGGTATGTACGGTGTACTATGCAGCTATCCCATTCATTCAGCTATACAAGGATTATCCACTCCCGCAACTTATCTCAATCCATCCATCGGTTATCTATCTGCGATGCTATGTTTGAAATGAAATGGAGGATGGGAAATTGCATTTTGGGGTTTTAAGTTTTTTTATGTTATTTGTGTTATATGTGTTTTTCTTTTCTTTTCTTTTGATTTGATTTGATGGCTGTTTAAATGGTGATCTTTTTTATTTGGTAATTTTGATTATGATATGATATATTGATATATTGAAGACTGAAGAATGAAGAATAAAGTTAGCAAGAGAGGGAGAAAGGAGGGTTTGAGAACTAAAGAGTATCTATCGTAGAAATGAAATACTACTAGCTACCCACTTCAGCTGCTATGAATTCAATCCTAAATTCCATACACGTAGACGCAGGGTTACTTTGGAGAAATGGATGGTCTAGAGCAATATCAAGAAATGTACACGTTCATCTGACTGGTCCATTCGAGGGAACAGAGGATACCTGTCATGTTGATGAAAGCCACACCTCTTACTAGCTGTCCACGGGTCGGGGATTCTTTGTTGTAGATTTGAAGGATGGCGATTTCCTATGAGATGTTTTGATGTTACTATTTGATGTTACTACGGTGAGAGTCTTCGATATATAATCACTCATCTCATGAGTACAATGGAATATTCTTTATGCATCAGTGTCCGAGTAATTTCATCATTGATTGTTGGCTGTGCAAAGAATTATCTTGTCCTTGATTTGGAAGAACATCTCATTCTGATTTCATTTCCGAGTTCATTCAACATTCTTGTCTCGTATTCTTGTGCTTCCATTCTTCCATTTCCCATCATCATTCATTCTCTTGACACCAAAATCACAGCCATTCAATTGATTGCATATGCAACAATCCAACATATATCGTCATATCGAAGATCCTTGCCTCTCGATTATTCCCTTGGGCCTATCCCATCCCATCCATATTTCATCCCAATTGAAAAAAATTCTTGATTCGTCCCCAGTTATCACCTCCAGAAATTAAATCAAGGACCTCAGACAAGGGTTCTTGGTCCAAGCTTGCGAAACAAAAAGTATCCTGGTCGTCCATCACTTTGGTCTCAGTCCTGGCTCTTTTTATTTCCTTCTTTCCCCCAGTCGCATCCTCGATTTCCGTCCCTTCTCTTTTCCCTTTCGAACGTCGACTTTCCTCTCCCTTATTTTTGCTCGCATGAGCAGGAATAATCTTCATTAATTATCATCCTCGAAATCAAAATCAATTGCGTGCGTCATTCCACGATATCGTGAAGATATCACTTGGTAATCATGGCCAATGATACCAGTAGTGGTGGATCCAGTTTATCGGGTTTGGTAGCGACTTTGGTACCGACCTTCATTGTGGCTGCCGTGTACTTTGTCATCTTCTTGATCTTGCGCAGATCCAACGTACGATGGTACGCTCCGAGAACGTATCTGGGTGCATTGCGCGAGGAGTACGTACATTCCTCACACAGAATTCGATGCGGGATGCAGGTCAATGCTAATATTCAAATAGAGAACGAACGAAACCCCTTCCATCAGGATGGTTCAATTGGATTGGTCCTTTTCGCAAAATTCCAGATATTTATGCCCTTCAACATCAAGGTCTCGATGCCTATTTGTTTCTTCGATTTTTGCGCATGACGGTGGTCATTATGTTTGTGGGTTGCTGTATCACATGGCCAGTTCTGTTCCCCATCAATGCGACGGGCGGAGGTGGAGCAAAACAACTGGATATGCTCTCTATGGGTAATATAGATAGTTCTACATCGGCTGGAAGAGATCGATACTATGCTACTTGTTTTATTGGGTGGATTTTCTTTGGATTGTAAGTTCAATTTCTGTATTCACTTTTGCATGCGCGCATAAGTTTTTCCAGAAATCTCATGATCTTCTTTGGAGTTTCTTGATCTTTGGAATGCTCGCTGGTCTTGACCTCCTGAAACTTTACTCATCCCAATCAATTAGTGTTCTTTTCCTTGTTACAAGAGAAACTATCTATTACGTCAACCTTCGACAAGCTTTCTTACTCAACCCAACTTTCGCAAATCGCATCTCTTCAAGAACAGTTCTCTTCATCTCTGTTCCTGCACCATATCTCGAGGAAAGCAAACTTCGAAAAGTCTTTGGAAGTGCAGTACGTAACATTTGGATCGCTGCAGATTCCGGAAAGGTGGAGGAACTGGTTGAGAAGCGTGATGAAATCGCCAACAAACTTGAAAGTGCAGAGGTCAAACTTATCAAGACAGCAAATGGCGAAAGACTCAAGGCAATCAAGAATGGGGCGAGTCAAGAAGAACAACCCGTCATAGAAGATAATGGTGAATCGGGATCATTGGCCTCGAGATGGTTGCCTCAAAAGAAGCGTCCCACACACAAGCTTGGCAAATTTGGTCTCTATGGAAAGAAGGTCGATACAATCAACTGGGCTCGAAGTGAATTGGAAACTCTCATCCCGGAAACCGAATCCGCTCAAAGTACTTATTTGGCTGGAGAGACTAAGAAGGTTGGATCGGTATTCATCGAATTCGCTCACCAATCGGACGCTCAAATCGCATTTCAAACTCTCGCTCATCACCAGGCCCTTCAAATGTCTCCTAGATATATCGGTTGTTCAATCCTAGCGAAGTCATCTGGAAATCTTTGACCATCTCATGGTGGCAAAGAGTTGTTCGTAGATTTGCTGTGGTTGGATTCATCGCTGCTCTGATCGTTTTCTGGGCTATTCCAGTCGCGGCTGTTGGTCTTATTTCAAACGTCTCATACCTCGAACAATTTAGCTGGCTTTCGTGGTTGAAAGCAGTTCCAAATTGGATTATGGGTGTCATCTCTGGTCTCTTGCCTTCTGTCGCTCTCTCGATCCTCATGTCACTTGTTCCTATTATCATGAGACGTAAGTTATCTTTATCAAAATTGAATGACCTATGCTAATACGAAATAGTTTGCGCAAGACTCTCCGGTGAACCAACTACTGCACGCGTAGAACTCTTTACTCAAAACGCATACTTTGCCTTCCAAGTCATTCAAGTTTTCTTGGTTGTCACTATCGCATCATCGGCATCATCGGTTTTGTATCAGCTCATCAACAGTCCAACTGGAATTCTTTCCCTTCTTGCGAATAAATTGCCCAGTGCTTCCAACTTTTACATCTCATACTTTATTGTTCAAGGTTTGACTGTGGCCGCTGGAGTCATTTCTCAAGTTGTTGGATTCTTTGTTTTCAAGATTCTCTACAAGTTCTTGGCCACTACTCCACGAAAGATGTATCAAAAATGGACTAGCTTGAGTGCCATCTCATGGGGTAGCACTCTTCCAGTTTTCACTAACATTGCTGTCATTGGTATTACTTACTCATGTATCGCGCCACTTGTGATGGGTTTCGCGACTATTGGTATGAGTTTGTTCTATCTCGCTTACAGATACAATATCCTCTTCGTCACCGATACTCAAATCGATACCAAGGGTCTTATTTATCCACGTGCTCTCCAACAACTTCTCACCGGTGTCTACCTTTCGGAGCTTTGTTTGATTGGTCTTTTCGCCATTGGTAAAGCATGGCCACAAATGGTCCTCATGATCATATTCCTCATTTTCACAGCTTTATACCACATTTCTCTCAACGCAGCCATGGGCCCACTTCTGCACACCCTCCCCAAAACTCTCGAGGCCGAAGAGGAATCTATCCGCGGCGAGCTCGAAGCCGGTATGAGCGGTAGCCCCACAGTCTCCCACGAGAAACATAACGAGAAAAACGGATCCAGCGACCTGAGTCCTCACTCCAAGCCCCAAGGCGGTATTTTTGCTAAATTCTTTAAACCCCATATCCATTGCGATTACGCTAGCATGCGCAAGCTTGTTCCTCACGGTAATCTCGATCCCGAAAATCTCTACGATGATGTGACTGCTCGGAATGCATACTTTCCTCCCGCTATTGTCTCCGAGGCACCACTTTTATGGATCCCGAGAGATCAGGCTGGAATCAGTGCTCAGGAAGTGGCTCACACGAGTAAGGTTATTCCAATTACCGATGAGGGATGTACGCTTGATGAGAAGAATAAGTTGGTTTGGGATGTTGAGGGAGCGAGACCACCACTTTGGCAACCAAAGATTTTCTATTAGGCTATGCATGGATAGATGGAAGGGAAGGGAATGGAAATATGGAAGAATATTGATAATAGATCTTTCAGGATCTGAATTTCATGAAATGAGATTGGATGCGATGAGTTGAGATGTTTTTTATACCCCGGGAAATCGAACGGAACGGAACGGAACGGAACGATGAATAAATAAATAGATGGATGAGGACGGAGTTGGTAGTTTTTACCATACTCTTTAATGTTTTCTACTTTAATTTGGTGGAGGTTGGGATGGATCTGTGGATGTGTGGATATCTGGATGAAAAGAAAGAAGATGTGTTTTTCTGATATCTGGAATCTGGAATCTGGAATCTTTGAGTCTTCGAATCTTGAGATTGCGTAAGGGAGTAAGAGGTAGATGGTTAGATACCCCAAGGTCTGAAACTAAAAAATAATTGTTTATAAATTCTTGGGGGTGTAATGAATGAGATGTGGTGTGATGTAATGTGGCCAAGCGGTGTGATTGATGGATCATTTTGTCGTTGAGCCTTTGTAAAATTTGTATTACATTACATGTTCATAACTATGTATGTTTATATTTTATATGATCTTACGTTATATATATATATACATACATATACTTAATAGGTAGTTAACTATTTAGTAATATTCGCTTGCTTGCTCGCTTATTTGTTTATTTATTTATCGAGAAAAAGAGAGGAGAGGAGAGGAGAGTAGAGGGAGAGGGAGAGGAGAAGTGAGAGGAGTAAAAGAGGAAAAAGAGGAAAAAGTATTGTGTTGTTTGAAATTGTTATAGTGGAAGTGAGAACGATTTGAGAGGGAAGGGGGAAGAGGGAAGAGGGAAGCTAGAAGAAAGAAATGGGGAATAAATGGGAATAGAATATGAGAGGAACAGAAAGGGGAAGGGGAAGAGGAGGAGGAAGAGGAAAGGTGGAAAGAAAAAAGGTGGAATAAGTAGTGAGAGGGAATTTGAGAGGATAGGGAGAAGTGAGGAGTGAAATGGGATAGAGAAGCGAGAAGGATTTGAAAAGTGAGAAGGAAGAAGGAAGTAAAAAGGAAGAGGGAAGTGAGAGGGGATGAAGAAGCGAATAATGAGAAAAGAAGAAGCGAAAGGGAATAAAGAGACGAGAAAAATGGAGATCTGGTACTTCTTTTAGGGCTAGTATTACTTTCAAAATCGGATATATCTACTTCAAATCTTCATATCAATATTCCTAATACTAACATTCTCAATCCAAAGATATCCAATAATTCTAACGAAATACAGAATGAATGTATTTAATTATTTAAATCTAAAATATTAATCTCTTTAAAGTATTTGTTGTTTGTTTTATTAATCTTTAAGATTATATTAATAGAGGATTTTAGGGAAGCTATTGAATTTAAAGAGAAAGATAAAATCGAGATACTATATTTAGATAATAATATAGATATTATAATTATATTAATCAAGATTATATATAAATACTTCAACTTAATCTCGAAATACTTTAATTTAATTTTGCTTACCAAAATCGTTATAGCAATATGTAATAGTGAAAACCCTTTCGTTGTTCTTGCATTAAGATCTGCTCCTTCATCCAACAAGACACGCACGGTTTCCAAGTGCAACTTAATAATAGCACATATTAATAGTGAGTGTCCATCTCTTGTCTTAGCCTCAAAGCTAGCCTTGAAGTCTGCCAGTAAGGAAATTACAGCTGCTTGATCTGCAACCGCTGCAAAGTGAAGAGGGGTAAATCCATCTCTTCCCGATATATTCACGTCTGCCCCTCTTCTCTTGAGCAGCTTCATGATTTCCGTATGACCTCTCTTTGCTGCGCATACCAGAGGGGTTCCGTAAAACTCCGTGGTCAGGTTGATATCTGCTCCATCTTTCAAGAGTTTCCGCAAAATAGGTTCATTGCCGTGTGATGCTGCAAGATGCAAGGCGGACATCTTCGAAGATCTTTAAACAGCGATTTTATTTTAGGTGCACAATATATGATAAATCAAAATACAGCCTCATTTGCAAAGAAGGGAGAGAGGAAGTGAGGCTGAGACACGTGGCGAGTGAGAGCTTGCAGGTAGTATCGTTTACTGAAAACAGTTAGAGGCCTTGGCTTGTTCCCTAAACCTCTCTTTTTTTGGGGGGGGGGAGAGGGGGAAATTAAGACGGGCGATTGAAGTCAAATTGTATCAACTTTGCTCTTTACTAAAAATCCGCGACCATGGCACTCTCGTTTTACCAACGGCCAATGAACGCTCAAATTAACGAAATCCGGCTCCTGGAACTGACAAAAGGCTCGTCCTCAGATCCAGTATCGTGCTCTATGAGGTTGGTTTCTCTGGACGACGCGGATATTGAGTATGAAACATTGTCCTATGTTTTGGGGGACAGTCGCCGGACATGTTCCAATTCAGAGTGTGTGGAGAAAGCTTTCAAAGCCACAAAGCAATCTCGAGTTGGCGCTACGGCATTTGCGGTACAAAGATTGCAGCCGTTTACTCTGGGTAGACGCTGTCTGTATAAATCAACTGAATATACCGGAGAGAAATAGCCAAGTAAAACTGATGGGTTCAATCTATGAGACTGCGCACCAGGTTCGTCCGTGTGGCTGGGAGAGGAGGAAAGTGATACTAAGGAAACTATAGAGCTCATTCATCGCATGGCTGGAAATCACAAATTGCACTGGGCGGACTTCACTCCAATAGAAGATAATGAGCCTAGATATGGAGTCGGTCTAGATCGTTTGCTTCTGTTCATCTTCTTTCGCGGGCCATGGTGGACTCGCATGTGGACACTGCAAGAAATGGCAAAAGCAAAGAGCTTGACCTTCATCTGTGGCTCTTCTGTTATATCGGGCCAAACTTTGGAACTACTTGTTCAGAGCTTTAACATACATTATCAAGCGTGTTGTTTTGATGAAAAGAATAATCCTATTCTGACCTTGCCCCATCTCGAAAATCGATTTTTGGAGCTTCAAAGAATTGAAAGTCTGAGGAAAAGTCGCACTCGTGTTGGATTCCTTGAATTGGCTCGTTTATACAGATATCGCATCGCAACTGACCCTCATTATATGGTATATGGGCTCCTCGGTATGTCGTTGGACCTTGATGACAAAGTCATCAATTATCAACTGCCGGTTGCTGAAGCTTATGAACTTGCCACATTGGCATTGATCGCGAAAACGGGTAATCTCGACGTTTTCAGCCACGTTCTTGAGCATCCTTCAGACGCTTCACATAAGTATACAGAGAACCTCCCTTCTTGGGTACCAGACTGGAAATTGGAATACCAGTTCGAGGTCCTTCGCTTCTCTGGTAAACGTTAGGAAGCATTCTCCACGCATAAGACCTCGGGATCCATTCCTGTGGATATCAATCGAGTATCACCCGGCAAAATAGCTATAAAGGGACTCCTGTTTGATACTGTGGAAGAACTTGCGCACGCTAAAGCTCCTTCAATACTCATTAGCTATGACTCAATCGACGAATGGCGAGAATTTGCAGGAGTTGATGAGAAACCGGAAGAGCCCTATGCTGGCGGCAAGACTCTCATAGATGCATTTTGGCGGACGCTATGCTGCGACATGAGTGTAATCAGCGAAGAGAAGCGGGCTACTTTCGAAGATCGAATACTACATGATGAATGGTGGTGGATATTTCTCTTGATGAAATACAAACAGAATGCCCAGGAATACTCAAGGAAGCTGAGGCAAGAGGTATTGCACGGTGTGAACCAGCTTGCTCTTTCCATATATTCTTATACCGCTGGTCGAAGATTCTTCCGAACAAAGACAGGTTACATTGGTGTCGGGCCATCAGGAATGAAAGAAGGTGATCAAGTTTGCGTTCTGTTCGGAGGAAAGACCCCGTTCATCCTCCGTAGAAAAGATCCTGAAGTAAAAGCACACAATAAGTCAGTAGAGGAGTGGATCTTTGTAGGTGATGCTTATGTTCAAGGGATTATGAATGGAGAAGCTATAAAAAGTATGGAAAACGAACAGTTGCAGTCGGAAACGTTTATTCTTTGTTAAAATTTAAAAAGATATTCGAAGAATAAGAAGGATAAGTTAACGATGTTATAGTTAATATACAATCTCTATATCGGCAAATTACTCTCATACCCCCCAAATATCATTTAATTACTCTCATACTCTAAAATTGAAATGTAACTTAAGTAGATTCTATTATAGATTCTATATTATAGAATCTAAAAAGCATAAGAGTAAATCATCTCTCAACTTCAGAATATAAGAGTAATTAAATGACTTTTGAGGAGCATGAGAGTAATTTGTCGTTTCTACATATACTTAAAATACTATTAATCTACTTAATATAAAGTATTAGAGTTAAGACCTTCTATAGAAATGAATCTATATACTTTCTTTCTTATTATAATATTGTTAGTCTAAGGATGATACGAATGACGCAGCACCTACAATGATCGGTCCTAAATGTCAATATTGTATTCTATCTAGAGAGCTAGCTACTTACAGAAAGAAGCAATTCTTAAGTATACTACGAAGCTAGCCCTCTCGCTTAGTATACTAGATGATCGGGATACTAAATTCTTCTACAGAATCATAGTGCTTATCTAAATAGTCATCTCAATATATTGAATAGTGTTTCATGGAGTTCATTTTCAAAAACTTAACTAATATACCGATACAAATCATATATTGAAATCCTATTGATAATATGTAAACCTAGTCAAAGTTAATATGAATTCAATTTTATAAGTACATATAGTACTAGAATCTCATGTGGACAATTCGCGTTTCCGAAACATTCGCTTTCCCCGACTAGAAACTCGTCGACCGTTTATGAGAGCCAACTGTTAGAAGATAGAGCTCTACTTCGATGCATATTATCCGTCTTTATATTTCTCTACGCGGTACGCTCTAATGAAATGTTGAGATGAAAAAATGGTTGAGTTCGAGCGGCTTGTTATGATGAGGAGGGGTTTCTGCTTAGTATGGATATTTGAATGAAACGATATGATATGACTGTTTGTCAAAAATGACTTGTAGTCTTCCGATACGGAGTAGAATGGATAATAGATATCCCAATCATATCATAGTGATTACTCCGACCTAGGGAGTCCTCGCTGTCCGTCCTTCCAATTTACACGCATAAATTAGTTCCTATTCCCATCCACACACACCAAAGCAACTCCCTAAACCCAAAGGCTTAACCTTCTTCTTTTCTTCTTTTCCCCACCCCCGGCTCCACCCCCCTTCTTCGCGAATTCCCTCCAACTTCCAATTCTCTCCTCCCTACTCTCCTCCCACTTAACCTCACTATCCCTCTTTCGCTTCCTCTCTTCCCTCTCCTCCTCCACTCTCTTCTGTTCCCTTCCCTCCTCCTGCATCTGCGCCTTCACCTGTCTCCTCCTTCTCTGCTCATTCTCAATCAACACGAATTTTGTTTTCTCTCTCCACTCCCTCCTAAACTCCTCACTCGGTTCCTTCACCTCCGCACTATCTCTATTCAATCCCTTTTCACGCATCACCAGCATTCGCGCATCGGCAATTGCTTCATCTAATCTTTCACGATGTTTCTCATCCATCAACTCCGTCTGCGCTTTCTTTAACCGATCAAATGCATCTGGAGCAAGGGGATTGCGTGTTTTATCCGGATGGATCAAGAGGGATTTTACACGGTAACATTTTTTGATATCGGATTCGCCGACACCAGGTTGGAGGTCGAGGACTGCGTAGCTGTATTATTTTTGTTAGTTGAAATGTTTGGGTCCTTCCGACTTATTTTCAATGCCGTTCATTTTGTTCCATCGAGATAACATTCTGGGAAGGGGAAGACATACGCATCTAAACGAAAAGCTCTTAATATCCTATCGATTTCAGAATCCTTTGCAAAACACATAAAGTCAGTAATCATTCACTCATTGACTCAACTTCTCCGGCGATTTCAGATCCTCTCCAAAAACAATCCACCCATATAACTTCTTCCAATCCTCTCCCTCAATCCCCCAAAATAAACATACTTTCATAAATTCCTTTGCCTCACTCTCCAACCCCTCCAGCGCATCCAAATCATCCTGCGCATCCCCTTCCTCATTTTCCTTCTTCACCACCACCTCCTCCTGCTTATCCTCCCTTTTCCATTCCCCCTGCGCATCTTTCACCTCATCCCTCTCATCTTCCTCCCTCTTCACCCTCTTCGCATCCGGACTCGTCGCCGTCATTATCTATTCCGCGATTTCGATTTCGATTTCGATTTCCCAGTATATAATTCCGACGCTATCAAGTTATTAACCTCTTATCAAAGAAAGTCTGTCGTGCGGAAGAATAGAAATTGGCAGAAAAGGCCAAAAAGGTGAGGTGATCGAAGGATTAAAGAATGAGGTTGATAAGATTAAGAGATCGAGATAGCAAGCTTTAGATTGTCAAGCTAGCGCTCGGGCCATTACTAAAGATGCGGGCAAGGCGATTGACGCTATGTAGGTGTGTATTTTGGTGTGACTTACATAAGTTTTTGATGGTGCTTCCGGTGAGGAGCCTTCATGATATTATTTATTACTTGGTGACTTGATTAAAGTTGTTAGGTTTCCACACAGATAACTCCAGATACACACATACCTGAGGTCACTCAAATGAATTGAAAAATTCATGGAAACGTGGAACAAATAGTATTTTCATTCTCATTCCCATACCAGATATCCACAAGTCCCGATCTTGCTAACGCCATACATACATACATAAATACATCTAGACATTTAAGTGCACACTTGCATTTCCATGCTACCAATACCACTTCATATGAATCCATTTGACCCATGTAAGAGGGTCTCGTTCTGTCATTTCTCACATCATAACCACTACTCTCCTCAATTATTGCGTCAATACCATACGTACCATAAATTATGATATGACATGACATGATGAGAACTCGTGCGAAATCCTCACAAGAAATAATCCGCCACCGGTTTCTTAGCCGGCATGCCCCTTGAATCCTGTGGCGCCGCATGGAAAACCCTATATCTCCTTGCAGGTCCACTCAATGCTACTTTCTCTTTCAATAACGGCGCATTAGCACCATTCCCTCTACTAACTTCTCCATTACTCCTTGCCATTATTCCATTTCCTGTCCCATCCTCTCCTAATTCCATAATCGCTGCTACATTTCCACATCTATAGCAGTAATTTGGCGCAGACCATACTGTAACAATACTATGATCGAAAGTCTCTTTAAACCCCTCCATTACTAACTGATGGGCTCGAGCAATCATTGAAAGGTCGTTGGTATGGTTGAACATTTTGACGATATCGGCTCCGAATAAAAATCCTGCGCCACGTGGGGAGAGACCCCAGCCATCTATTTCATCAGGATCGGACCAGAGTAGATCACACATGGCGCCTTCATGAGGGACTTCTTGTTTGCGGTCTAAGAGACGGATTTTATCGACTGCTTGGATCAGAGGGGAAAGACCTCCATGGACACAGAAAACCGCGCCGGAGGGATTGCCTGAACTTCCTCCACTGTAACCTGAAGCCCCAGAACCAGGTGCACCAAGACTGGTGGGGAATTTGCTTTGGGGACTTGGAGAACCCTTGTCTGATGAACTCATTTCTGAATCTATAGATGGCTTTCTTTTCCCGATCTTGTCCCTGTTTCGTAGAAATTTGTTCATAATACTTCCATCAACATTTAGAATCTCGATTTCCACATCCTCGTCATTAAATTCTTGCGTCGAGGAGGTACTGTGTTCGCCATTTGGCATAGATGTAGGTTGAAGACTGCTTGATGCTCCAAGCACAATTGCACCGAGAGCAAGATAATCGAACACTTCGCAACAGTATCTCCACACATTTGCGCTTCCATACTTTCGTAAGCATTCGTCGTAAAATCCATAAACTGTTGTAATTTGTCTAGATTCGTGATTACCTCGGATCAAGGTCATTCGATCTGGATATCGTACTTTGAGGCACAGTAGGAGGAGGAAAGATTCTAAAGAGTAGAACCCTCGATCAACGAAATCACCTAAGCAAGTTAGTCAAGGTCTGCCATAAATGCCGTTTAAAAGGTCGTATCTTACCCATGAATAAGTAATTTGTATCGGGCACATCACCACCAACTCTGAATAGCTCCATGAGATCGTGAAATTGTCCATGAATATCACCGCATATCTGCATAAATTCGTCAATATCGACCCATCACTTGCGCAAACTCATGAAGCCGTACCGTAACTGGAGCTGTTACTGTGACCACATTCCCTTCCTCGATCAACAATTCTCTCGCTTTATGACATAATTCTCGAACTTCTGCTTCTGGGATGGGTCGGCAAGCTCGCAATTGCGAAATGGCTCTGAATTAAAGTCAGATTGAAGTCTTTTGAAGGAAGTCGTAGAAGCTGTACCTATCCAGATCGCTCATCTTTCTTACTAGAATATGTCACTCGGGAACTTTGGGGGCCAACGTATTGAGCAGGATCAGATTGGCGTCTACAGAGTTTATGTAATGTAAATAGCTTCCAGATGTCGATGAGGCGCAATGTCAATTTATCGGCCGTTCAGATTCTGCAGCGCAGCTCATTCGAAAAACCCAAGATTCGAATATGAAAGTCCCTAATGTATTTTGTCGAATTCGTTTCTTAATAACGCGTGAATGTTAACGGCGCATCGAGGTTCTATGGGGGCGCAAACGAGATGGCGAAATATCCCAAGTATCTCAAGGCTGGAGAAAATCACTGTTCGGGAAAGAAAGACGAAATGAAATCCCGCTCCAAGTGAGAATTCGACAACAGATTATATTGCTGTTATTAAAGAATTCATTGATGTCTTAATTATTATTGTTATCGAAATTGTCGGTTGAACTATAATTTTCCTCAGCCTCGAATATGATAAGGTACTGACTGACTGGTCTGGTATCTCAAGATGACGCTAGTGTTATGAGTGTATATCGAAGCTCAAATTAATAAAAGTCTGGGGTGGCTTGGTGGGAGTGTGGTGAATATAGAGCCTCAGACCAAAATTAATAAATTACCCGAGGATATCCCACCATTTTTATGTTCAACTGCGGAACCCTACGTCAATTTAAAGACAGGACTCATAGATACTTCAATTAAAATTCCATGTCAATGTTTTCACATATAATGAGATAACAGGTAAGTAATCTTTCAAAACTCAATTGAACCTCATTACTAACACAAGTTAACAGACACGATTCATTCTTTAAACAAAACTCACCACATTCCCTTGAAACCAAAATATAAAAAAACCATGCCGCCTCATCTTCACCCCCGCTCAAAATTCACATCTTCCCTCTTCGCAGGCACACTCTTTGCTAGTTTCTTCGTCGTAGCACTACCGCACGTTCTTCCTTGTCCGGCACCGCGCGTCGTATATGCAGATGATGGTTCGGGATCACAGAGGCCGATGAGGAGAAGGAGGAAATGTCCTGTTGATGAAGTGGGGGCACAAGGGAAGGAACAGGGGCAGCTACAGATACAATTGAAGACTGTGGGAGGAGACAGAGAGGGAAAGAGTGAATATAAAGATTTCAATGAGAAAATTCGGGAGGAAATGGGTGGTAATACTGGGGAATCGGATGATGGGGAGGAAATAGAAGGAAGCAGGAAACTTTCTAAGCGCGAGTGTCCGGTGCCGAAACCTGGGGGTGTACTAGGAGGAATATTGGGCTTTAAGTCGACTGTTGAAGAAAAGGGCTCGAAACCACCGTGAAAGATAAGATCAACTTCGGAAGGGCTTTGATATCGGGTGGTGAAAATTGGGTACTGGCAGGATTGTATATGTGGTGCGGGTGTACATATTATGCTACCACGTGTACGGTATGATCTGACATTGGGTTCATGAGTCTACATATTATGGATGAACAAATGAGATATTTAGATGCATGTGGAATTTTTGGATTTACAAGATCTCCACTCGGCATGCTGTTTAATGCGAGAGATGAAAGGAAAAACGTTTCACATTCTTGAAACGTTCAAATAAAACGACTCTCTACTCTTTACCTTGAATTGTTCTCGCAGTCGTCTCTTCAAAAAAGAATTCTGCAGAACCCGTAGTGCATTCCAAGCATTTACAGAGTAAAACTTTCAATAGCCGATACATGTTTGCAATCGAGGTGTTTCTGTCAGTCATTTGCCAATCATGCACAGAAAACTAGGTTTTCTATCACTCACAACATCTCACAAGATTATCAAATGGAAATTGTGTTGAATGAAGGAACCACCTACCCTTTACACAACTTCTCCTTTTGTATTCCATTAAGCGAACACGGAATTGGACTCTCCATGCCAAATATTTCCTCAACAATTCAATACCAATTCACATATTTAATCAACAGAATGAAGACACATATCATGCTATCAGTAAGTAAAAAGTCTAATTGTCACTTACGCAATGGAAAATTACCAAGGGAAATTACATTTAGGCGGAAAAGTCCTCAGCGAATTCACGTGGTAACTCATACTCCCGCTTTCAAGCACCATGCAAATTGACTGGTTGGAAGTGAAAGTGAAATTCAAATTCTATGCCCTACACGATCATCCTATTACTTTACAACTCCAATATACATCAAAAGCCCACGCATATTGTTACCCATAGATACTGATATACTCAATACAACTCACAACTCACCCACCCATTTCGTTTCACCATCAAACGGATTTACCTCCCGCTTCCTCGGTACCATGCCAAATTCATCCGGATCCTCAAGATGATCGGAATTCAGGATTGCGTCCCAATGTGGGGCAACTGGCATGTATGAAACCACGTCATCCCAACTGGCAAAGTCGCCTTCCTTTGTTCCATCATATCCAGAGACACTAGCAAGTAAAGCTCTCCGGAAGTCATCTTTGGCTTTCTTGGCATCTACAGATATTTTATAATACGGCCCCTTGTGCTTTTTAAGCTTCGCAAGGTAAGCATCCGCATCAGCGACTCCGTGTATGTTCTTGAACCACTCGTCAATGGTTATTCCCATTACGCTAGCTGCTGTATTGGCTGCCTCGAGGGCTTCCGTGTCTCTCTTGCTGTCGGATGCATCGTGAACCCAAGTATTGTGGTCCGTAGGGTCAAATCCAGGGATTGCTGTCTTTTTGATAAGGTCATCTAAACTGAGACCGTTGGATTGAGCCCAGCTCAGCACGAACAGCTGTTTCGCCATTTCATGTTTCTGTTCTGCCAGCTCCTTCTCTCCCTTTTTCGACGCTGCTTCGGCCTTCACAAAATCGCCAGGTTGAATCCCGTCTTTGACAGCTGCAGCGTGTTGTCTGTCCCTATTCACTTGTTTCTCTTTTGACTTGTACTTGTCGGCCAATTTCAAATAGATATTCAGATCCCTTGCATCCTTCTCTTCCTTTGCTTTGATCATTAATTGTCTCTCTTGTTCTCTTCGATCTGCATCTGTCATGGGTGTAAAGCCAAGTGCACCTCGTTTCCGTTTTTCTGCAATACGTTTTCGTTTCAATCTTTCAGATGCGTTTTGGTTATTCAAGGCTGATGTTTCCTGAACTTCTTCATCCAAACGATGTTCCTCCCTGTGTCTCACTATTGCTTCTAGTGCCCACCTGTTTTCGGGTAATGTCAAGATTCTTGAAGGAGCGAGACCCGCAATAGGGTCTTTGATGGGCGGAATCTGGATTTCGTTTACATCCTTCCTCTGTTCATTGAAGAACACTCTTAGGCGCTCCAATTCCCGGACTCTTCGTAAGGCTTCTCTTGCTTGTGCCTCAGCTTCGGCGTTAGATGCTGGCTTCCACAGATCAAGTTTCGTTGGTTGTGAACCAGGTGCAGGCCCTTGGATTTCTTTGACTCCCTTGTTTATTTGATCAATCAGTTCCTGTATACCCATTTCGAGCTTCTCTCCTTCTTGCTTTTCAATTTCCGCGATTTTCTCTTTTTCTTTTTCTTCTATGTTTTGTCGGAATCGTTTGGCATCGGGTGGGAAATAGCCATCGTTGTCAGCCTGTCGTTTCAAACTCTTGGCTTCATATGCAGCTTGCTCCTCTTCAATTTCATCAAGGGATCGTTCGTGGAATATTTCAGAGGATTGTGATTGTACGTTTTGGGCGTTTTCTCTATGACTTGCCCACCATTGATCTCTCTGGTCGTCCGTGGGTCCATCTGAAATGTCTCCATAGCCGGGAGGGAGTCCTCCCCATGCTGTATCACTAGTTGGTTCAACCATTTCTGACCTAAGCCATGAATGAGCAAGAAAGGTCTCTTGGAAATGAAGCTGTGCAGCTACCCATTTAAGCTCAGCTTCTGGGCTCTCAAATGGTAAAGGTCCAGGCGCTCCCCAATCATCATTCGCTTCAGATTGAGCACGGTAATCCAGAAAACCGCGGTTCGACATGAGTTTGACAGCGCGGGAATCCGGTATACTTGTGTTTCTTGCTGGTTTTGCGTTTTTCCATCTTACCCACTTGAGGTCTTGCTCTCCTTCGCCCTCATCATCTTCCATGATCTTGCCCACAATTGCATTCTGCCAGTAGTATCCGGCGGCAACGCCAAAGTATTCATCTCTCAAGGTTTGTCTCAATGAGCTCCATTGTCGAGACCAATCTTTTGTGCTAGCACCAGCCGGCTGTAAGTAAAATCGACCGCCAACACCATGCCAAAACGATACTCCGCCTCCCTCACTCTGTATGATAGCAAATTCTGGCAATGGGCCTGCAATTTCGCCTTTGCAAACTGCGATTCCATTGATTGTTAGAAGTCGTCCGTCCAGGTTAGCCACAAAGTATCTGTACTTCAAATCAGAATCTTTGTCAATTTCATCATTCCAAAGCCTGACATCTTTTGGGAGAAAAGATTGCGTTTCATCGCATTTTGGCGGGTAGTTTCGAGGTGGCATATCTCGATAATACTTTTGTTCAGGTGCAACCCACCAAGGATCATCAAACCTCATGGGTCTGTATTCCTTCTCCTTCATTTTGAAGGATGGCACGATAATGTTATCTTTGCCTCGGTCAACTGCCTTTGGACGCTCTTCACCGGGATTGACCGGACTTGAAATTGCCTCGCATCGCCGAATATCCAGGGGAAATATATCCGGGTTCTGGTAGCTGTCGCTATTCTCGAAGGATTCTCTGTGATCACGATCTTCGATTTTATCTAGAGTTTGTCGATATATGTTTTTGGTAGGAATGTTGAAGATGGTGCCTGTTACTTTGTCCCAATACTTTTTAATCTTCAAAAGTGATCCGTGGTCTTTGGGTCTAGGCATGTAAGGTACGTTAGGTTGGTCATCATCAGGCACTTTGACTTGGCTTTGCGCATATCTGCAAAGGGGGCGGAGAAGCTATAGTTGATTTTATTAGTGGGATACTTTCCAAATGGGAGAGAGTATCGTACAGGATAAGGACTTCTTCCACAATCCACACCACCATCAATCTCAAACTGAGAATTTTTCAAGAAAGCATCCAGGTCCTCGTCCATATCAATTTTAACATGCTGTTCACCAACTTGCCTGGGTCGCCAAACGCTGTTCTCAATGGGATCGTAGTATTCTTGAAAAGTCTCGTCGTCTTCATCTGGGACAGCGTACTCGATGAAATTTTTCATAGCGAAGAAACCACCGCTAGAGCCATCATCTTCAATTGGAAATGGCCTTGTAAGGTCATTAGGATTGAAGTTTTCGTCATCCTCCTCATCACCATCGTCGGGCGCACGGTCAATAGCCGTCGCGGGTGTGTTGCTCTCATCAGACTTTCCCGGTCGCGCTTTATCAATGTAATCCTGAGGATCAGGCTTTTGCATAACCGACGGATCTAAGTTTCCTGCGTACGCTTGCAAAGTGACATTGTAATGTGCTTCCTGCCATGAGAGCTCAATGTATCCCACGCCCAGTTTCTTGTTTTTCTCCAGGCGTTCTTTGAATTCCTCAACGACGGCAGGACTCGTCCGTTTCGTTGCGAATTCGATATACTTCTCCTCGAGACTTTCAGTGGGTCGATATGTTTCATTCCAATTGGGTCGACTGGTTAATTTACATCGACGCACTTCGGGTAATTCTTCCCATTTGGCGAGAGCAATAGCGTACTCGATAGAACCCGGCTGAGCTTGAGGTTTCGGATCTTTCTTCCAGAATTCCGAGCCGAGAAGCTCCTCGACCCGTTCTTGCAAACTCAATGGGAGTTCATCGCGGACGTATTCCATCGTCAATGGTAGATACTCCGGCGCCCATTGCTTGTAATCTTTGAAATTCTCCCATTTAGGCGCCTCCCAATTGCGTCGCTGCCATTCGGCCAGCGCTTCACAAAACTCTATATATCCATCTCCCAAATTCCGATTTTGCCTAAACAGCGCCTTGAGATTCTCAATTGCGCGTTCTTTCCACTCTCTCCTTCCTTGCGCTATCTCAGAAATACTCGTTTCGAATTGTTCGAGCGCTTTCGCTTCCGTCCGATACGGTTTCCCTATCTTCACCTTTTTCCTCCTGTGCTGTCTTCTCCCTGCTGGCCCCTCAAAAGGAAGCTTCCCCTTCTTTTTCTGTTGCTTGATATAAGCTTCCCATTCTGCATAGGCGCGCGCAACCCACACTTCATTCACGCGTCCTTCCATGTAATGATTATTCCAAATGTCCCACGCGCGTTTCCAGGATTTCCACACCTCGTGTCCGTCCCCGGAATAATTGAGTGTGTATGGCGATTTGTACTTGCCCGAGCCGAGCAGAAAGTCCCGCACATCTTTTACGACGGAGGGGTGAAGATTTT